CTAATCTACAAATAATTTTAACGGATATACAAAAGACAGATTGCAATAATAATCAGTGCAATCTTTAGAGAAGACTTATTAGGACTGACAACTGAACTTCTCCATAGACTAAACGAAACTTAATAAAGTACCAGAGGCAATGGATAAGAAATATTTGGAAAATTTAAATCTTCTTCATGATTTTTTACATCTGCTAATTATATGTACCCAAGTACTGCGTTTTTTTTTTTGATCTGACTAAAATAATTCCGGTTAATGTGGCCAATCGCCTATAACGAATTGCACTTAAATAAATAAGTAATCCTGGTAACTTGAGATTTGTTTTTCTGCATTCTCTCTATCGCTTGACCCAAATGCAGTTTTTCTATCATGAACTGATGATTTAATGACGCTTGTAACGATGAAATATGGTACGACCAATCACAAGTGAATTATTGCGGTACGACGAACAAAATGTTTTTTTATGATATATGATTGTGATTTTATTTCGAATCTCCGTGTAAATTTCATTACAAACAACTCAATATGTTTTCTCCTCAATTTTAGGGCTACGTGTCTTCCGGTGTGTAGGTACATTTCTAAGACAAGGCCATGCAGGTTTCTATAACAACGTTCCCTAATGTATTATACACACTCCATGTTGGTTTGCAGGTATTATTCCTGCTCCGTTTTATTCTTCTCACATTTCTACTGCATTCAAGGAGAGCGGAGAAGCACGTCGCGTCGGCGACGCCGGAAGAAATCCCAAGCCGTCGCGTCAGCGGAGCCCGCGGTTGGTCACCGCCGGCCGGAACAATAAAAACGAACAGCGAGGGGCACGGACGAGGCACAAGGCACCACCATCCATCCATCCCTACGAATTACCGTCGTATGTCTTTTTCTCGCTTGCACCAAATCGCATCGCTCCCTCGCGCTCTGATTGCTACACTCATGTCGTCTTCATCCTATCAATTTTTCATTGCGAGATGCAGAAACAAATGAGCCCGACTGCAAATTGAAGTTAGAGATAGCGGTTTAGGTTTCTTTTATGCCGTACTGCGAAAAAGAGTGAGCGGCTTTCTTTCGAGCACAAAGGCTATTGTTACATTTCAGGATTGTATGAATGATTCAGGACGCGCAGGAGGATTCTCATTTTTATTGCTGCTTTGATTAGGCTCTCGCTCATGAATAACTCCTGCTGGCCTGCCTAGGGACCGTTGTAAAACGATCTCTTTACCCAGCGACTTAGCAACATTAACGAGACATTTTCGAATCATCATCATCATAAGGTCATCAGTCCTAAGACTGGTTGGACACATACCTCCACTGTTTCCTATCCTGAGCTAATCTTCGCATTTCCCTAAAACTAGAACAACCCAAATCCTTAACTATTTGCGAAGAGTAATCTAATCTAGGTTTACCTCTAATATGACTCTGACTAGACCTTCATGCCTGAGAAGATGTCCTACCAACCTATCTCGCCTATTTTTTATTGACTTCCATAGAGTCCTCTGTTCTCCTATTCCTTCCAATACATCTTCATTTCTAACCTTTTCTACCCACGTTATCTTCATCACCCGCCTATAACACCACATTTCGAACGCTTCAAACCTTTTCTTTTCCGCCGCTCCCACTGTCCATGTTTTGCACCCGTACAATGCCGTGCTCCAAACATACACCTTTAACAACCTTTTTCGAATTTCTAAATTAACCGTTCGCGAGCATAGAAGTTACTTCTTTTTATTAAAGGCGACACGACCCTGCGCTATCCTCTGTTTTAAATCCCTACTACTCCTTCCATCCTCACTTATCTGACTTCCTAGGTACCTAAAATCAGCCGCTTCTTCTAATTTTTCGTCTCCTATCTTTATATTCGCTCTTTCCCTACTTTTTCTTCCCTTGCATATCAGTATTTTAGTTTTACTTTTATTTATTTTCATACAGTACTGATCTGTCAGTACCGCTTCCATTTTATTTAAAGCTATCTCTAGGTCCTCCTTGCTAGATGCTAATACTGCTATATCATCTGCAAATCTAGGCTTACTAATCTTTTGCCCTTGCACATCTATCCCTACAGTTGTACTGTCTTTAATGATGTTGATGGCGTCTTCGTGTATAGATTAAAAAGTAGCGGTGACATCTCTAAATCTACAAATCCTATGTACGCACTCTTTCCTTTTTCTATCGTTTTCTCTATTGCTACCCGTAAAGCTAGAATGGCTTCCCGCGTTCCTCTATTTCTTCTAAACCCAAATTGAATTTTCGAATTGTTTTTTATCAAATAAAACAGAAACATCCTGAATATCGACAGTACACCAAAGGCGCAGTTCGTCAGCTAATAATTGCGAAATGTATCATCGGACGAGATAGCTGCACCAATTTCCATTACAATCATGCCTAATACGCTAGGACGATAGATATTACCACACTTTATATACAATGTGTACAAGTGTGTTTTCAAAAAGGCGTAAGTTTCGTTTATAAAGGTGGTTATTTCTGGCCATATTAATACGAAGAATACATTGAAGGAGAAAGGAGGGTAGGAGTAGGGGAAAAGTGCGCTCGAGAAGAATAAATCTTTCTTACGGCAGACTTCCCGGAATGGTTCTGGAAATAACAAAGCAAGGCAATTCTAGAATATAAATCGGGACAGGGAAATAACTTGGTTAACGTTTGACCCGCCAGAAAGCAGCAAATAAAACAATATCAGGGTTTAGTGCTAGCCATCAGACTGCTACGAACGTAGAAAACGCTTGAAAATTTTAAAATGTACTCGGTCTCTTTTATGGTTTCACATAAAAATGGAACAAACTACTTTCATCCCTCTAATTTTCCACAATAAGTAGATGATTTTTCTCATATAAAAAAATAAATGCATGGAATACCTGTTAAAGTATAAAATCCTGCGCAAGTGTTTATCTTGGTTCTGTAGGTAAATTTTTCATGTTAATACGTAGTTTCATAATAGGTAGCTATTAAAATTTTATGTTTTTTAAGTTAATTAGTGGGTAACCTCATGGTTCTAGAAGCAGCAAACCACTTTATTTAAATGCTTATTTCTAATGCATTAGCTCTTTAAATAATGTTCACTTATTTTTTAACTAACTCATGTTCACAGAACTATAGCAAACTTTTTGATAAGCAGCTTCAGTGTTTAAATTAATTAGCAAGAACAGAGTTGGAAGTCAATAAGAAATATGCGAGATAGGTTGGTAGGACGCCTTCTCAAACACCAAGGGCTATTCATAGGCATATTAGATGCAGAAACAGGAGCTACGAAGAGTGGAGATAGATCTTGATTGTAGTGTCCGACCGAAAGTTCGGTTTCGGTTTCGGTCGAGTTTCGGCAAAAAAACGAGTTTCGGTTTAATTTCGGTTTCGGCGGTAAACCTGCCGAAACTATGACCGAAACCGAAACTGCGTTCAAGAGTTCCTATACCTATTGTGATATTGGGTAACAATAACAAAAGTAATTTTATGTGAATAATCTTCAAAAGAAAAATGAGTCTAGTCTACTATACTTACTCAAATAAACATCTAACCTATTTTAAGTATTTTTAAGGCGCAATTAAAGTATTTCCTTAAATGAGGGGTTATGTTGATTTTGATTTGATTATCAATAAGTGAAAATGTCAAAGACTGCAGAGCTATGTGCTTTAAAGATAAAAAAATAAAAGTGACTGATTATAATAATGTTTTCTTTATTTTTCTCTCAAAACATGATCCTTATAAGGAAGTTTCGGTTTCGGCCGAAACTGAGACCGTTACCGAAATTCGGTTTCGGTTTCGGTCTTAAAAACCAGTTTCGGTCGGACACTACTTGATTGTATTACTGTTCACAAGTATAGTATAGTTAAGGATGTGGGATGTCCTGAATTTAGGGAAATACGAAGATTAGCTCAGGATAGGAGCTGAGGAGTCTGACTGACGACCTTATGATGATCTCTTGTACAATGAAATTTTCCATTTATCTAGTTGTACCTACAAAGGTCATTTCGACAAAGAAACGGATGTTCATTTATTAAACAATGACAGATTCCTATTCCATGCTTTTATACACACAGATAATATGGAAAATGTAAATGTAAACGAGGTTATCTGTATTTATAATGTACAACCAATTACCTATCTAGAGTTGCTATCTCTGATGGTTGACACGAGTAGTAGGTAATACCTAAAACATATTGATTCAATAAAACATCCTTTCCTTATCCTTCGGGATCTTCCTCGTCATTCAATTGTTTAAGATCAAGCAGTAAAAGTACACATTTAATTTCAATCTCATTACCATTATTTATTCAGATTTTCGTTCTCCAATAACTTCCTTTAATCCGATCTGACTATAGATAATAATTTTGGAAGGGTGAAGATTCAGCTTCATCAATTTCATTCAGATGTGAGTAATGTCAATCAAATTAGCTAATTAAGGATTCGCTCTCGACTAGAAACACTCATCACCCATGTAAGTAATTTTGAGCGAGATTTTAAACTAATTTTCCCACAAGACTCGTAAAGTCATTGATACAAATTTTTTCGCGAATCCTTGTAGGAGATTGAACTGATTATTGTACCTACTCTTAGCACGTTTCGATTGGCCGATATTTTCCAGCAATTTTTTGAAATTGATTAAGGTCCTTTTACAAGGATGTTAACATCCTGTGCATCATTTACGCGAATAGAAACCCCACCGCTAAGTGTGCGGTAAGTGCACAACGAGCAAGCGAGCAGGAGCAAGCAGGCTCATAAACTTTAGCCCTCTACCCCCACCACTGCAACGTCATCTTTATTCCCATAAATTAAGTTACGATCCGAATAGCGCTTTAAGCAGTATCGCGAACGAAACCACTTCTGTATTCACAAAAAACGACTTGAGAGGTACTCAATTTGGTTCGAATCTGTTTAATCCAATAGGGACTGGTTAGGGGCGGTGTCGGCGCAAGCAATCTGGCCAACGATTGGTCTTTTGCTAAGTACCCCACGGTGCTATGGCAACCGCCTGTTAAGCTCTAGTGCACCGCCGACAGTCGTTTTGAGCGTTTCGTAAACATAGTGCGTTCCCTAAATTCCCAACTTTTTCACGTGTCGCCAGAATCCGAATAATCCTGGCCAATCTGTTGCTCCAATCAAAACTGTGGATTTGTGCGGTTTTCCACATTTTCCGTTGCCCGATTCCCTAAAAAGGGCTATGAATACTGCAAATAGACTCTTTTTGGATTCAGCTTGCCACCCCTGCAGTGCTTTACAATTAGATAAACTTCAAGGATTGTAGATTGAGATAAGTATCGCTAATATCGTAAACAATTGAGATAATCCCAATATCAAATCTTGAACCATCGCCAATTTTCTACAATGACAAGAATAACATCATCGCTGTAAGTTTCCAAATCCAATAACACCCAAATTCCACCCAGTCGACGGAAGGATGTCAGACCACGAGCTCACTGAAGACGATCATGAGATCAATATCCTGGACAGTGACAGCAGATTATCAAATTGTGATAGCGATGAACCAAGATCTCGTTCTCCCAGGAGCAACTGCTCCAGCCCTGATCCTGTGTCAAATTCACACTCATCAACCACCACTACAACACTGCCATTTAGCATTTCTAATTTGTTGGGCAAAACAACCCATGAAAAGTCTGAAACTGAAGGAATTGAATTGGAGCGGATGATGAGCTATCCGGCGGGTTTCACGTCGCATCACAGAACGGCTACAAGTCTGATTCCGTCGGGGTTCTATCCACAAGGTGTTTTGAGGGTTCCCGCACACAGGCCTCTGGGAGGTCCTGGCGCATCCGGTGCCGTCTTTAATCCTTGGGCATTAACTCTGGATCCAATGCTGCAGAGATCAGCAGCTGCCGCAGCATTCGCTTCACAAGTTGTGAAAGACCGACTAGCAGGTACGTTGAGTTGAAAATTGCATTAGGAAGTAAAAATAACTTTATGAGAATAAATTCAATACAATTTTCCACTGGCTAGAAAAATATCAAATGCTGGCAAGATCTACCTTTGGAAAGGTAGAGGTTTCAATTTTTAAAGTACGGAAAAAATTTAAACATAATGTGCTTGGACGTAGAATGTTAATATCACATCTTTATTCCAATTCAGAATATCTTGTCTCAATGCGAAATCCACACTTAGAACCCCTTGATTTTCTCAGTGATGAACAATGTCCAAATGTCTTCAATTCTAGAAAAATTGAGTAGATCACTTACAGGAGGTATCAATAAGAATTATGGCTTGCTTCATCATTATTATGGATATCTTGGAAACGATTCCCCAGAATCCGCAATTAGAATCCTTTGATTTTTCCTAGTGAGGAGCTGTGTCCAAACGAGATTATTCTTTCTTAATAAGTATTATATAAATATTGAGTGGGTCCCCTCTACAGCTTAGATGTCAATTTAATTTTAAAATTTGGAATGCTATTCCTCAGAATGTTCAATTAGAAACTTTCAATTCGAGGTTTCTTTTTCTCTCAATTAAAATACAATTCCCTAGAATCCACATTTCTTAGTAAGAAGCAAAGTCCAAACAATGTTATTCGTCCTCAATTATTCTACAAAGGTTGATATCAATAATAATTCTTCTTCTCATCTATATATCGTAAATTCTAAATACGATTCCTCAAAATTCACAATTAGAACTCTTCAATTTTTCTTGGTGAGGGACAATGTCCAAACGAGGTTTTATTCTTTCTCAATTAAAATACAATTCTTCAGAATCTAGAGGTAGAATCCTTCGATTTATCTTAGAGGAGCAAGATCTAAACAAGGTTATTCGTCTTCAACTATTCTGGAAAAGTTGGGGATCCCCTATAGCTTAGATATCAATACGATTCCTCAGAATTTACAATTAGATCTCTTCAATTTTTCATAGTAAGAGACAATGTCCAAAAGAGATTTTATTCTTTCTGAATTAAAATACAATTCCTCAGAATTCAAAGTTAGAATCTTTCGATCTTTCTTAGAGAGGGAAGGATCCAATTGAGGTTATTCGTCATAAACTTTCCTGGAAAAGTTGGGAATCCCCTATAGCTTAGAATATCAATAAGAATTACACTACTTCTTCTCATCGACATTGTAAATTTCAATACGATTCCTCAGAATTTACAATAAGATCTTTTCGATTTTTCTTAGTGAGGGACTATGTCAAAACGTGGTTTTATTCTTTCTCAATTAAAATACACTTCCCCAGAATATAGAGGTAGAATCCTTCGGTTTTCCTTAGAGCAGCAAGATCCAAATGTGGTTATTCGTCGTCAACTATTCTGGAAAAGTTGGGGATCCCCTATGGCTTAGATATCAATACGATTCCTCAGAATTTACAATTGGATCTCCTCAATGTTCTTTCTTAAACAAAGTTTTCGTCCTCAATTATTCTAAAAAGCTTGAGGCACCTTCTACAGCCTCAATATCAGTAAAAATTACACGACTTCTCGTCGATATTGTTCAATTTCGATCATTCACAATTAGAACTCTTCAATTTTTCTTGGTGAGGGACAATGTGCAAACGAGGTTTTATTCTTTTTCAATTCTATAAAACTTGAGTGGGCCTCCTTTGTGATTGCCTATTACAATTGAAGTCATTTTGCCAACATTGGTTCATATTTAAACTATGAAAATATTAAGATTCTATTTCGTATAGACAACTGTGGAGTTTCACTTCTTTCTCTGTACAAGCAAAACAAGCCACTCTTAACTAAAAGTTGTGACCCCATTTCCAAAAAGGAAATAAATAATTTCCTCTATTTATACGTGCAGTAAGTGTGTATTTTCAACCCACGAAAGTTGATAATCATCCCCAGTGTCTTATTCCTAATACATTGAAAGATTTTTATTTCTTTTATTACAACGAATTAGAGACAGAATCCTTTGTGTATCAAGTTCCAATCAAAAATAATTATAACCAATTAGGTATCTTTGGATTAATTAGAACGTTATCAATTTTGTAGACATGCAATATATTAAAAAAAGGTTCATGAAACGCATTGCGAGATAAATTAGATATTTTGAAATCGAATTAATCAATATCTATAATATAATCCCAAATTACATTTTGTTATATCAGATTATAAAGCTCAATCGTTATATATACATAGCGCCATATTTTTTGTACCCGGCTGCGCCATTTCGACCCCGTGTAACAACTAGAAACTGCTATTACGTCTTTTATAACGACACGCAACATTCTACTTATTAATTCATAACGTTTGGGGACAACTTGTTTCAACTCTTACCGATAACTAGCAGCAAGATAGCACGGAATCTTAGAGAAACGATTTCCTATCTAAATATTATGACTAATGTGTGGGTACGTAAATGGACGCTCGGGCGAAGTACTATTTATCTGTCTGTCTGACAAACAATGTACTTAAATAAATTAGTAACAAAGTATAGGTAGAGTGTAACGCAATCAGCGCTAATTTTATTCTTCCATTAAGTTATAGGTACCTACGTGGTACGTAAAAAGCACTCAATACAACGGCAAACGTTACAATGTGGAATTAATTAATTGTTAAAAATGTAAGTTAGTCGCAGAATACAAGCGGTTTAGAAAAAATAAACGAATAATAATAATAAGATTAAGGAAAAATTAGAAGGAACATAAGTAGGCAATCTCTAAAGTCTCTAATAGGGGTTGCTTAGGTCGACTTTGAGCTTTTATGTTCTATTATTCTGCCTCTAAAATATCCATATGTTTGTCCTACACAATATTTGTTACAGATAACACAATTAAATACTTGATTTACATTCGTTAGAGAAGTCCAAAATACTAACTACCTATGAAGCAATCAAGAGCAATTTCAATAAATATCATCGCTGATGGTTAAAACTGGCACAATATACAACTGACATATATAAATGACTATAACTGTTCAGTTCAGTGAACTGTTTTCTTTTTGCAAAGTTTTATTGTTATTCATAATTTTGTGGTCTTTTTAGCCAGTGGCGAACCTGCAATTTGCATTTAAAATAAAATTAAACTGGAAACAACAGTTGGCACCACGCTTTAACTGTGTTTGACTTAAAAATTAGTATGTTCGTCTGAAGGGCAGCGGGAATATACACAACAAAGTCAAAACGCACCGCATCACGAACTAACCCCATTGAAAACATAATTACATATGTAGATCAGGTACTGACTTTCTCTGACATGACGGAATACATATATTTATTACTCATATTCTGCTGAAAGGAAAAACACAATGTAGACGTCTTACCAAAATTACAGCGATTAAGCGTTTCCAAAATCACGTAAATATAACTTCCGCGCTCATCAGTCCGAAATTAAAACTTTTTATACTAATCACTACTAATATGATAATGCTAATATCTATCATGATACATAAGTAGGAGGTAGAGGTGGTTGTAGCTAAACGCGCTCCCGCGAAATCGGTAGGTTAGGTTAGGCAAGGTTTTCGTATGGAGGGGTTGAATGGCTTATATGAAGTGCTATGTCCTATGGAGATATGGATGTAGGTTAAGTTATGATGAGAGAAGACTCACTTATTGACTTGTGAAATGCTATACAAAAAGGGCTTATGTTACATTAAAATGGAAAAGGTTTTCCTGAATGATAAGTATAAAGTGCTATGAGCGCACCACTGGCTTAGATTATGTTATGTGGTTAGAAAGGATTTCTTGATTGACGCCACTTATCCTGGCACCTCCATCATACGTTCGTCCTTGTTATTTGACTTTTGAGAAGAGATTATTTAATTTATTGATTTCGGAAATTTATTTGAAAAGAGCTTGACTTGAGCAAACTGCTTTTAAAGGAATGCCAAAATGGTCGTCACATTTGACAATGATAAAAGTTTAAAGTTGAAAGGGAACGAAATTTGTAAAACCACGAGACGTTCGAAATACACAATACATACAAGTGACAGGGAGAAAATTGACACACTTTAACTGTGCACGGCGCCAATGCCGACGTCGTTGCCGCCACCACTTTAAACAGTCCCCCTCCTGCCTGTTCATCCATTATGCATGGCCCACTTAAAATTTCATTCCCGTTAAAACGTTTTGATATTAAAAAAGTGGAGGGTGTCAATTTTATATAGCAATTTCGATAACGGCAACGGAGGTGTCAAAATGGCGAATTCCGTTCTATGCATTTTTCATTGTAACGTACTCGCGACGATATGTTTCGCTTCCGAAAAGTACGAGATTTTACAACGAGAAAACCACTCAAAAAAAAAAATACTCTGATACAGGGACAAAATCGCACTTAGTATAAATAACTTTTCAAACTCCACACTCATCTTCATGATCTGCTGATAAATTCAAGATGCCAAAATAAAAAATCAGCGAAAGATCTATACCACGACGAAAACATAAATAGGAAGAGCATATTACATATAAATTATATCACATTTAAATGTATCTGTGTAGGTATATATACAATTTCAAAGAATTCTAAAAGTGAGGGTTGATTTTTTGGGTTTACAATCGTAAATCTGTGAATCGCCAAAGATTAAGAAATACGCGAGATGGATGGATAGGACAACTTGTCAGGCATGAGCAGATAGTTAAAGAGATATTAGAAACAAACAAACAGAATTAGACCTAGACCTAGATTAGATTAATGTTCACAAATAGTTAATGAAATGGGATGTTCTAGTTTTAGGGAAATGCGAAGATTAGCTCAGGATAAGGGTGGAGGCGCGTGTTCAACCGATGTTAAAACTGACGACCTTTATGATGATGATGAATAGTAAAAAGCACCCGGTCCATTTCTATAAATTTTGAAATCGGCGATTCGTTCCTTTATTAGTCCCTTATTCGTGCACAAATAAAAATCAATGACATTAAAAATCGGAAGTGATAGTACGACAGTGGGATAGCGATATATATTATTCTTTACACCTTCATTACATTAACGAAAGAAACATGTT